CAAGTCGAAAACTAAATTCTTGATTCTACTCCAATTCTCTTGTCCAACTCAGGAAACAACAACTCCAATAACCCATATTTTCAGGCCAAAACCTTGAGTAATCTTTGAGTTCTTGCTTCTTACCCAGAAGTCAATTATTATTTACTACCTCCATTAGTCCCCATCCTGGTCCAAGTCACACCATCATTCATTGAAGCTCTGTAGTCACCTGTTGAGGGGCTTTAGCTGCCACCCTAAATGGTCACTATATAATCAGTTCTCTATTAAGCAACAGCAGAGCTCTCTTTAAAATTTAACAGAGATCAATCATATCACTCTTCTTCTCATGGGGCTCTAACAGCTTCCCATACTTGAAGAGTGAAAGCCGAAATCTCCTCCACAAGCTACAGAGCCCTACATGACTGGGCTCCTGCACTGACTATGGAACTCATCTCCTACCACTCTGCCCATAATGGTTTCCTGCTTAAAACTTGCTTCCCAAATAGAACCTTACAATTGCTGTTCACTCTACCTTGTGGCTTGATTCCTCTCTTCTATCACAGGGTCTGTGGGCTCAAATACCACTTTACTCAGAAAGGTCTTCTATGGTAGGCAGAACTCTAGGACAGCCATAATAGTTCTGTTCTCTCCTATACATGTCCTGCACAATCCTCTCCCATGGAGTATAAACAGGACCTGAAAATAAGATGGGATATCACTCCTGGATTAAGTTACAATACATGGCAAAGGTGGAGGGATTTTGCAGATGCAATTATGGCTTTGAATCACTTGGCTTTGAGTTCATCAAAGGGGAGGTTACCCTAGGTGAGACTGACTTAATAGACAAAGTCTTTACCAGAAGGACTGAGACCTTGGAGGGGAAGGAAGATGGTCTCCTGCTGCTCTTGAGAAAGCAATCATGTTGTGGAACTTTCGGTGGAGGGGGTGGCTTACAAGAGTTAAGGGCTTCAGCCCACAACTTTGCCAATAGTCCACATGAGCTTGAGAGAGGACCTTCAGCTGCAACAGAGGATTCCTTGCACTCAGTCTTTGAGTCAATGAGCAGGTGACCTAGCCAAGCTGTGCCACACTTCTGATCCACAGATACTCTGAAATAACAAATGGCTGCTGTTTGAAGACACTAAGCTTATGGTAACTTTTTACATAGCAACGGAAAACTAATACACCTTCTCTAATGTAGAATAATCTTCCCCTTGCTTTCTATACTCCTGACATAGATATAGACATATATTTTCTTTCAGAGAACTGATATGACAGAGAATTGATATGACAGAGACAGAATTTGAATACTTAACATTTTTCCTCTCCCTGACATTAGAATGTAAGATCCCTGGGATCAAGAAATCTGTCTTTTCTGTCTGCTACTGTATATCACAGCACCCAGAACAGTACCTTGCACTTTGTAGGTGCTCAATATGTACAGAATGTACATTTACATTAGCACAGAATGATGACAAAAATGTAAGGGCAGTTAACTTTTACTTTTCAAAGGCTACTTCTCAATGAAGTACAAGGACTCTCAACAACACTAGCCATTAGGGAAATGCAAATCAAAAAGATCACCCCAGTTAGAATGGCTATCATCACAAAGACAAAAGAAAACAAGTGCGGGCAAGGATATAGAGGAAAGGGAAACTAGTTATACTGTTGGAGTAAATATAAATAGCCATTTTGTAAATGGTATGGAGGTTCCTAAAATAAATAAAAATAGAACACATATGACCCAGAAACTCCACTACTGGGTATATATCCAAAGGAAAGGAAGCCAGTGTGTCAAATAGACACCTGTACTCACTTGTATGTTTATGGCGACACTATTCATGATAGACAAGAAATGGAAATAGCCTAAGTGCCCATCAGCTAACGAATGCATAAATAAAATGTGGTGCAAATACACATACCATGGAGTACTATTCAGTCACAAAAATAATGAAATCCTGTCATTTGAAGCAATATAAATGGAACTAGAGATCATTATGATAAGGGAAATAGACTAGACATAGAAAGACAAGATGATCAAATAATCTCTCTTATAGGAAGAAGTTTAAAAAGTGAATTCTATAGAAATAGAGAGTAGAATCGTGGTCTTTAGAGGATACAAGATTAGGAGAGAAGGGAGATAGGAAAAGATTGGCGAACAGATACCAAAATATAATTAGAAAGGAGGAATAAATTCTAGAGTTTCATAACTCTAGTTTCATAACTCTAGTATAAAGAGAATGTATACTTTACAACAATTTATTATATATTTTAAAATACTTTGAAGAGAGGATTTTGAGTCTGTCCAACACTAAATGTTTGAGGTGATAGAAATGCTAATTTCCTTAATTTGATCACTAGACACTGTAAAATGTCAATTATACCCCATAAATATGTACAATCATTCTGTGTCAATTAAAAACAAAACAAATTTTTTAAAAATGAGTGGCTTCAAACAAATGCCAGAAGACCTGACCCTCCCTTAAACTACTAAATGCACTAATCAATGTTTTAGGTTAAGATTGAAAGAGAGATTCATCCAATGGGAAAGTGACATTTACCCAAACATTGTAACTAATATGATACACAGATGATCATGACTGAAATATGTGGTGGGCATGTCAATGCTCACAGGTGGATGTTCTAGTGATAACTAAGTCACACCCAGAGTTTTAAAATGAGCTGTGGTTCAGAACTAAGCTTAGAAACAAAAAAAAAAAATATATTGTTTTGGTTGCTGTTGTGTCATGACAACTGTGTCACCAATATGCATTGATATTTCAGAAAACAATGAAAACCTGAACTGATAAAGGAGAAAGAGTGTGCACTGCAAAAACATCACATGATCTTACTGCCTTATTCCACCCTGCTCAGACCACATGGGAGTCCTGTTTACACATGGGCACTATGATCAAATAGGACATGGTTAAAACTGGGAAATAACTGCATGAAAAGACAGCTGAGTCAAAAGGATTTAGATTAAACAAACTAAAACAAATTCCTGTCCTGTGGAACTTTTTAGAACATTTAAATGTTCCTATGGTTTCCAAAAAAGGTGTGTGTATGTGTGTGTGTGTGTGTGTGTGTGTTATACAAACAGATGAATAGTATACATTATTTCTTAATTTATTTAAATGTAGAACCCTTCTTCATGGAGCAACATGCTTATAATCCCCAAGCTTATAAATATGACAACCTAAGACCCATAAAGGAAAAGGTAACCAAAGCAGGTACAGACTAAATGTTAACAAAAGTGAGCAACCAGGACTATAGGGCAAAGTAGAAACTATATTATAAGAAGCAAGGCTAAAGATATTTGCAGCATTTTTGCCTAGGAAAAGGGAAGATTGAGCCCTGAAAATATACAAATGACTCTCTCAGAAAAGAGAGGAAATGTATTTGTTTTATATAGTTCTAGTACCTAGAACAAAACAATAACTAGGGCAAGGCTCAGGATCATGCTTTTTATGGACACATATCTGGGGAGACTTTTATCCAGAAAGCCTGCCATTTACTCAATGGGGCATAATTAAAGCTCATAGGAGCCCAAAATAGGAAGGTCATTTGAATCCTCAGAAGGTTGAGGATTCAACAAAGTTTTTCAGTGTCAAAAGGGCAATTGTGGAGAAAAGGAGAGCTGAATTAGACTCAGGGGCTAGATGACCATCTAGCAGAAACACCATAGAAAAGAATCCTGCATATACAAAGCAGGAGCCTGATTACTACATTCTCAAGGTCACTTGCAACTCTGTATACTCAAGGAGCAAAACTGTAAACTCTAGAGTTTCACTCACCCCTGCACATCAATGACAAACACTAGACCTGGCACAGAGTAGGTTCCTCATAAATACTGGTTGAATGAATGAATAATTGAATAAGTGAAAAATAAATGAAAGAAATATCTGATTCTAAAGGCAAACAAAAGGGAACAGTCTGCTTCATTCCTTGGCAGAGGTAAATTTGCTAATTGCGAATAATAATCAAGGCTACTTTCAAATATCAGGAAAAATAGTCTTGTAATAGTTACACTTCTTGGCTGGGAAATCAACTCTGAATTAAACCACAACCAAGGTTCCTATAAGGTTCTCCTGGTAAGTATGTGAAAATGGACTGCAGATTGACTGACTGTCAGAAGTAAAGGTGATTGGTGGTGATAATCTGCCCTAATGGACAAGACAACTTAGAGGGCAGAAACTAACCATGATGATAAACCCACTTTTTGTAGTTCTGAACATGTGAACATGTCATTAGCCAAATTTTATTTGCATAATTTTCCGAAGGAGAACACACAATACACCACACACACACACACACACACACAATTTTTTTAGAATACCTCCAAAATGTGATAATATTCTGACCAATCTGGTAAATTAAGCTATTTACAATGAGGTTAAGCAGTTTTCTTTTGTCTTGAGATTCCAAATGCTCAACAAAGAATATCTGCAGATAAACCTTTAAATTAAAAACTTCTTAAAATAGAAATAGCTTTCATTCACCAGGCTATCAACTGTCAGGCACCATATTTGTATCCATTTCCTAGAAGAATGAAGGCTCTTTCAAAATATATCTGTCATTTCTCCACAGTGGCTGATCAAACCTGCCACTGAAAAATGTTCTGAACAGGCAACTTGTAGTACAAGCATGGTTTATTTCTGTCAGAGACTGACTGCTGGAGTGTGAAAGAAACTCATTAAAAATCTCTTACTGTGATCTTACATTGTTAAAAAATAAAAGGAAAAACCCCAGAAAGAAAGAAAAGAAAAAAAAAAAAAAAAGCTTAGTGATGGGTACCCTGAGTCTGCAGACTCTCATATAGTGCTTTTCTCTCTTGGTCTTCTTTAGCAAGCAATTAAAAGAGCACAATTAGTTTGGGGAATATGGCATACACTGGTTGTTTGGGTAAATCAAGTAAGTTAAAACAATTTTATTTTATGCTAATGTCCTGAAAAGTTAATGAAAGAGATCAGAATATTGTACTATAAGAAAAATGATGGAAAATAAACAACAGCATTATTTACCTCAATCTTAAAACGAGGTTCACAGCGCAAGAAGCTTCGCTATAGTCTTCACTTGCGTTGGGTTGGCCCTTTAAAAACACAACAGCAAATGGTGTTGGAAACTTTATTGAAAGAAGAATGAATAGGATCACCATATCCTTTAACCATGCATCCCTTTCTTTCTGGAAATTTCAAAACTAGGACTTCAGACCTGCAGGTTTTGTTTGGCCTCACAACACCTCTAAGTGAAGATCAAAATGATGCCCAATTCCCATTGCAAATGTGGACAGAATGTTTCAAAGAGAGAGACTCAGTAGTAGGGTGGACACTGTGAATGACTGGTACAAGCTGCAGCAAATTCAAAGTAGGGTCAGCCATCCAAAGTGGAGCCATCGAAAGTGGCACCCTATAGCTAGAGCAATGGAGTCTCACCCACTGGGCCTTGGTGATGCACAAAGGTTGGGCACCTTAAACCTTAAGGTGGAGAGGACGGTGGAACCAGTAGGACTGGCATCCATTTCTCTTTCTTGCCTTTCTCACCCACGGCCTATTTCCTTGAACATAGATTATCTATTTCAAGTGCCTGTGCCACATAGCCCCACCCTATTCCCATGAATCCTTAGCCACTAGTAGATTTATTTGTCTAAGAAGAGAAAAATAACAAGACTTCAGGGTCAAGACTTGGCTCTGCCACTTACCAGCTGTGTAAACATGGAACAAGCCCATGGAAAAGACTTGTTTTCCCCTTTACAAAGCAGGGGTAATACCTGCCTCAAAAAGTTTTGGGAAAACGATATACATGAAAGTGAGCCATAAACTATAAAATATTAAACAATTCTAGTTATTATAATCCCTTTTGCTATTTCCTTTGCTCACTTTGCTTTCTTTTTTGTTATTATTATTATTTGCCTTTCATCGTTCAGTGAATCCCTACTGTTTATCTCTTACTGAGTTGACTGACACAGCATAAAGCCCTACACTGAACTCTGGTTCTGCCTCTGACCCATGGTGTGACTTTGCACAAACTACTCAATCTTTGCAAGTCTTGATTCCTCAGCCATAGGATAAAGGCCAGGTTATCAGACCTCAAACAGGCTTTCCACAACCAAGAAACCCCGTTGCTCTAGCCATCTCCCAAATAAATAACTGCTTTCTAAAACAGAGATCAGGCAAAATAGAAACAAATTTAAATGAAACATACAGATTTAGGAAAAAATACTGTGATTCTAAGGCTGATGATGCTTTATAGTATAATCACTTTTTTGTGGTAGGAATGCCAAATTTTTATTGATTCTTTTTAGTTATACATGAAAGTAGAATTCATTTTGAAATAATTATAAAAGTATGGAATATATCATATTCTAATTCAGATACCAATACCTCTCCTTCCCCTTCCCTTTTCCTACCCCCTGCTCCCTTCCCTCTATTGATCTTTCTGACTTTTGCCATAGTTATTTTATTTTTTTAATTAATTTCTGATGGATATACACGATGTTGAGATTCAGGATGTTGAGATTCACTGTGGCGCATTCATATATGAACATAGGAAAGTTATGTCAGATTCATCCCACTGTCTTTCCTAATCTTATCTCTCCGCCCTTCCTTCATTCCCCTTTGTCTAATCCACTGAATTTATATTCTCTCTCCCGCCCCTTATTGTGTGTTAGCTTCCACATATCAGAGAAAACTTTGACTTCTGGTGTTTGGGGATTGGCTTATTATAACCTCTTTAAGAGCAGAAGTATTTGCCTACCAATTCTATAGCAGAACTAGAATGTGACTCTGCACTGCAACTCTATACCCACAGTCCTTGCCCTGAATTGCTCAGCATCCTTGACTACACTCAGCATGACTCACCGCACAGGTCTTCTGTCATACGCCTTTTATAATAATGCATTGTACATGCATTTCACTGTCACTGGACTATTATTTTTACAAGCCAAGTTGTAGAGATGAATTGGCCCATAAAATTCAATAATAAAAGAATTATGAAAAGAGGTTATAGAAATCCAACCAAGAGCAAAAGAAAAGTATCAATTAGCTACAATGTTTTGTGGCTGGAATATAACAGAAGGGTGAGTCATTTTCTTTCCTTTGCGTACTTTCCACAGTCCCAGCAATTTCAAAAGCATTCTAGTAATTTTTTCTTGCTCTTGAACCTATCATTAAAGGCTAGAGGTCGTGAAAGGATGGTCAATAATAACCATCCTTTTTTTCCATATCTATTCAAAGGGAGAGTTTATAAGCCCCAGGTTTGGCAATGTACTCTGAAATTGTCTACCTGCTTAAATGGTGGGTTTCTCTAAAGGTCTGCCTACAAAGCTTCTCTAATGGAAATGACTGGCAAAGGAACCTACCTGAGAGTCGTGCACGGAGAGGGACTGTATTTGCTCGGGGATACTGCTGGTGTTCACCGAGATCTGTTAAGAGAACCACCATGATATTACTCAAGGAAGCCAAAAGGAGACATCAAGGTCAATGTAGTTACACTGTGTACCAACTGCCAGAGACAATAATGTTCAGATCTTAAAGCAGTAGTATTTCCTAAACTATATCCCAAATGCTTCTGACTGCCTGCATTGGAATCACTCAGGGAATGTGCTATAAATGCCTGGGTCCCACTTGGCCTGTGATTCAGAATTTTGTTTAGATGGGAGAACATCTGTGTCTTTAAAGGGTTCTCCAGGGTGACCTGTAGGGTTTGAGAGAGCGACTCAGCCAAAGTGAAAAAGCATAGACTATTTGATATTTTAAATTGGATAACAACTTTTTTCATTAGATATTTTCATCTAATGAGAAGTTTTAGACTCAGTAAAAACTGCCCCTTTAATTATTACTGTAACTATTGATTGTAATTCACAAATGTATAACGTTAAGTGGGTTTTTTAAAATAATTTTCCCCAACAGAAGGATCGGTTACATTTTTCTCTCAAAAATTGGAATTGTGGCCCTGAGCTGACACCTAAATCATTTTTACCTCACAACTGACTTTTATGAACTCTGCCCTGTAGTAAACCTTGAAAGACAGAAAACAAAACAAGAAACAACAACAACAAAAAAAAAGAAAAGAAAAAAACTAAAGAAAAACAGCAATGAAAACAAATGAAAAGGATCTTCCATTTCTAACCTACTACCAATTCTAAAATAATCAGAAATTCTTTCTGGCAAAAATTGTCTAAAATTTAAGGATATAAAATTCATACCCTCTGAGCTTCCTCAAAAATAACTATGTTCATCCTGAACTAACAGGGGAAAGTACATTGAGGTCTGCAGTTTACTTTGAAGTACATTAAAAAATTCAGATGAGAATATGGATGAGTTGATGGATTTGCATGTCATAAAGCAAGTGTAAGTTATACCTTAGGTGATAGGTATATGGCATTCACAATGAAATGCTTTAATGTTGTATGTTTGAATGTTTTATAATAAAATGTTGGGGGGTGACTATGTTAGAAGAAAAAAACAATATCTGTTCATTAGCCAGAGGGCAATGGCCTACACCAAATACCTCTTGGGAAGAATCATTCAGTCTTATTCCCCAGTCTGAATTTAGGTTTGATGTATAACCACACATCACAACTGCCCGTACAGCATATCCTACCTTTAACCAAAGAACAACAGTAAGCTAAGCACCCTCACTAGCATTGACACAGAGGAGAAAACATCTCCTTTCCTTGGGGAGGCCCATCACCCACCCAGGTCCCTTATTCCTGGGCAGTTGGTCTGATGGAGAGCTTATGACTGGAGTGGGCAAGGGAACCACACATGCCTTATGAGTCACTGTGGAGGTGTAAGTGGCATATAACCAAAGGACCAGCTTCTATTCTCAATGGTGCAATGCAAATTATTCCTTGGAAGATGTCCAGAGGTGCTCAGAATGCTGAAAGCCCCTGTACAAAAATATCTTCCTTGACAATTCCGTGCAGTTGCTCAATATCACTATTGTGAACCCTCTCCATGAGACTAGAGGATGGCCTTTTGGTTATACTCTTAAATGAAAAACTTTCAAAAAAGAAAAAAATATGCTAACCCATTAAGCAGCTGTTACATATCAACAGCATAATAGAAATTTATCAGATATATTCCCCCTTTTGAACAGTTTTCCCTCTCTTAAATAGAAGGGCATTTAAGAGAACAAATGTTTCAATAGAAAGGGGAAAGAAAAATAAATTAATGTTGGACACCACTCTATGACTAAACCTCAGTGGGGATCTGGGAGAGGGTAAAAGAGAGGAAAATATCTCAAAATGGACAGAAGAAAGAAAAAACATATGCTTTACAACTTTCATAGAACTCTGTCTAATCTTTTCTTTTTCTATTTTTAACACATAGCTAAATGAAATGTGGTATTTTGGTTTGTATCCAAGAAAAGAAAAAGAACATTAGTGGACAAATTAGTAAAATATGAATAAATTCTGGGGTTTAGTTGATAGTTATATAAAAATATTATTTTCTGAGTTATGATACACATACCAGGATTCCAGGAGAAATTAACAAGTGTGAAAAACCAGGTGAAGGGAACTCTGCACTTACTATCTTTGTACCATTTCTCTGTCTAGAATTATTCCAAAATACGGTTTATTTTCAGAAATATAGCAGATTTCTGATCATAAATCTAACTTCCAACATTACTCAGAAGGCCAATTACCTATAGTGATAACATACTTTAGAAAGTGGCATAATTAAAGTATCATATTAATGCAGTCTAAGATGACTAAAGCTAACTGTAATAAATTTAGAGGCAGAAATGAAATGTTTTCTCCTTCTACATAAAGATATAGAAACAAATATGCAGCCAATCACAATGGCACACACCTGTAATCCCAGTGACTCAGGAGACCGAGGCAGGAAGATTGCCAAGTTCAAGGCCAGCCTGAGCAATTTAGTGAGGCACTGTCTCAAAATAAAAAAGGGCTGGGGATGCAGATCAGTGGTAGAGCACCCCTGGGTTCAGTTCCCAGTAGCACAAAAGTGGGGTGGAGAATAAAACATGTTTAAGAGTTGATGGGGATTTGGAAAACATGTTTCATCAGAAATAATTTTTAAAAAGCTAGTGGAAGTCTTAAAAACCATTACTTTAACAATAATGAATAATATAAGCAATAAATTTAACCTTCTCATTATACCTAATATCTAGTAAGAACATCCTCAATCTAAATCCACCTCAAATGCATTTCTCCTTGAGATAAGATCCCAGAGTAAAGAAACAGAAAGATTTTCATAATTAAGCTAGACTAAACTCTCCATGACAAAGCTCTTCAATGTACTTTTTGTGGGTCCTACTGGGCTTCAACCAAAAATATTTACTCCTGTTTCATTAAGCCTGGTTGAGTAAGGACTTCTCCAAGAGATTTCTAAAAATGTTTTTCCTTCTGCCTTTCTCTTTCTTTTATTTTGAAATTTCTGATACGCAGATATTTAAAACAGAATCTTCCTGATTTCTCTTTGGGTTTCTGGATTCAGCCTGATTTGTGACGTTTTTATAGTCAGTAGACCTTGAACCTGGCCACAAATCAGAATCACAGGATCAACCCTCTGAAAAGCATTGTAGCTGGGACACCACCCCTAACTAGTAAATTAGCATCTGTGGCTTTGTGATTGAATCCAGGCACCGAATATTTTAAATCTTTCACTTTCTCTGGTGTTGAGCAGGACTATGAATCATTTGTTCTCATGCCACCTATCTGAGGTGACGCTGTAAAAAAAAATGTTGCTTTAACCGAAGCCCTAGCGAACATCTTCCTCCATTCAATGAAAAAACCAAAGGAAACTAAATTTAAAAATAAAGTTTATTTCACTTTTCATGTAGAAAGTTAAAAGTATAATGTAAAATTGACAAAAAGTCATTAAACAAGTACTTATTATCTCAGAGCCTGAAAAAAAGAAATTCTGAAACCACTGATCAAAAGAAGGTCAATAAGAGGATAACAGATGAAAAGTTGAGATAAGAAGATATATAAGTAGGAAACATTACCCACAAAAGGCACTCTGCTTCAGGCCTCAAAAGATAGAAGCTTCCAGAAAGCAGGTGCTCTTCTCTTCCTGTATAATTTCCACAATGGCTAACCCAATTCCAGAGACATCAGGTACAGTTTACATATTTTATCAATTACTTAACTATATTATCATGAATAATAATGTAATTATTAAACTTTAGTCTCTGAAGTTTTCTTCCACCCAAGTAGAATAAGATGATAAATAAATGAGAATGAATTATGTACTTATTACAAATCATTAATTACTAGTGGGTGACTAATAGTTTTGCAAGACTATTTCTAAAATATTTCTCTAGGAACACATGACCAATTTTTCAAAGTACCTAGCTATGAATCTTAAGATAAATGGTATAACTCTGAAAATGTATTGTTTATATTTGAAATTTTCCTAGACATACATAGAATGGCCTCCAAATATACTCCAGGATAAGCAGCATCTTCCCAAGATCCCTCTGACAAAGATCCTACTCCGGCTTTCTCAATCTTCACTAACTAATATTGTAATACTTTGTACTCCAGGACTCCCCAGAGACCAAACAGCACCTCACAAATTAACCATGCCTAAAATATCCATTTATTCTAGCATCTTACTGTCTAAACATAGCACTACTAAGGCTACATTTTCTGCACTTCACCTCAATTACATAACATCTTCTGATCTTTATTCCCATTTATGACCTCCTCAGAAATACTACATGCCTATTCATATACTTGCTTCTTGTTTTTACTTCTGTGCATGGATGTTCATGTCACCAACAATCATGTATGCAAGGGGAGCACACACATGCATAAAATACTAGCCCAGACTTCTACCAGCTTATGGTCAAAGCACAACTAGACTGCAATTTAAATGACAACCATTATTGAAAAGCTTATCAAAATATAATTACTCTGGCATTTAAATGTGCCATTTTGCACAGATAAGCATTTCATTCTCAAAGATGCTTAAAGATATACATTGATCTAGTTACTGATAGCAACTATGAAAAATCCAAAATCTGAAGACGCTTCAACCAAGCAATCCCAATTCTAAGTATCTATACTGTACTTGCATATGTGCTGACCCAAGTGCATACACAAAAAAAGTGAAGGGAATGACATCCGTACAACAATCTAAATGACTGACAAGAAAGAAAGAGTTAAATAAACCATTTCTATCCATCTAATGTAACACTATGCCACAATTAAAAATAAAGAGGTAGTTACAATATTTAATATGAATAGATTTCCAAGAAAATAAGGCATATTGCAAAAACATTATAGTTTTATCATTCCATTCATGTTTTTTAGATGATATGCTAGATTTAAGTATATATTTATATAGAAATGAACAAAAAAAAGTCTCTCAAGAAACACTGCCACCTGATAACTTCTGTGAAAAGAAGTGACAGCCACAGGGGCAACAGGGTAGCAAGATAACAGCAGTCTTTAGTTTTTATGAACTCTAGTTCTCCTATACCATTTTCAAATCTTTGCTCTCTGTTCCTTCTCTATCAGGCCTGCCCTGACCAACCCCAACAAAAATCACAGCCTCCTCCCACACTCCATCTCCACACATTCTTTTTTTTTTTCCTTAACATACTGCTCCTATCCTATTGTAACAATAATTTACAAATTAACAATTTATTTTTACTCCTATTAAAATGTAAGTTTCACAGGGACAGTGATTTTGCTCTGTTTCTCTCACTGATATGTTCCCAACATTTCCTAAAACACAGCAGGCACATATTTAATGTGTGTCAAATATTATATATAATATATACACACATATATAGGTACATTAAATATTAATAAATTTAACTTTTTAATTCCCTATATAATAGATAAATAAAATACTGTATGCTCTCCATAATTATAGGAAGCAGTTGGGGGTGGCTAGCAAATCAGAGGACTATTTTAGTTAAAAGCTGAAAGCACCTGGTAATATAGCTCAGGATATGAAATGACAGCACTATCAAGAGTTTAGAATACTGGCCCAAGAAACAGGGTCAGGTCATTCCTAAAATGTAGTGGTAGTGTTTACATGAAACATGTATGCTTCCATAAAATTCAGAAGTCTATTCATATGCTTCCTTAAATTTGTACCAATCTGTGACAGACACATTCCATTGGAAAATCAAATGAGTCTAGATGCTATGTTGCCTACAACTTTCAAATCCCCATCAAGATCAACAGTGAAGCTTGAGAATCAACTCACAGTTTACCCTACATTATTCCCTTTCTTACCTGTGCACAAAATATTCTTTCCAAAAAGATCCTGCCATTAGCCAAATAAGTTATCAGCAATTTCAATGAGCACATAGTAAAATATTCTCTTAACCAGTTCTCATGGGGAAAAAGACCAACACCCATTCTCTATACTAGTAAGGCAAGATCAATGAATATCACTCAGTGGAGATGTCCTGTAGTAAACCAATAATGAATGCTTTTGGGGTCAATGACACTACCTAAAGCATCTCATTATGTTCTACTTCTAAGAAGAACTCGTCCTTTTAATTAGAGATACTCTTAACAACAGATGAAAAAAACTTGTACTCTGTGCTTTGCTCCAGATTAAATGGGAAAGTGGGCAATGAGAGGGCAGAGTACATGAGACCTACTTAAGATCATTCTAAAACTCTAGCACAACATCTAAACTCTAGCACAGCATTCTAAAACTGTATAGCCAACATGCCCTGCTCTGACGCTTATCACCATTTCTCCTAGCACAGGGGAAAAATGTCCTTGACTAAAGCTTATATCTTACATGTGAAATGGAAAAAAATAATTCATGTGATTATCATATGTCTCCATGATCCTGTTCTCTCAACAGGACCTGAAGGAGCACTACCACTGAGAGGCAGGTACACTGAAAACACCCAGGAAAGACCTACAGTGGCCAGGATGATGATGGGAGAACAAAGGGAGAAGGGCTTGCAGTTCTGTCAATCACTCTTACAATGCCCAGCTGGCTACTGCCACTTAAAACCCCATGGTGAGATTTGCTCCTCCCAAACAAAAGGAAATGCCTACCAATCTTAAAAAGTTGGGATGGACATACTTTGTAGCCCAACATTTTCTGTTTTCATAATGAGAATTTAATAAGGTCTATATTAATTACTAAGTCTAAAATATCTGGAGCTATTTAAATATGCTCAAATTTCCTCTAAGAGAATTACTGAGCTATAGTCATGACTAGACATTAAGGATTAGGATAATTAATCAGATGGAGGAATTAAATGAAAAACGATCCCTTAATCAAAAGATGAGCAGTTCTTAAAAATGAAGTCATTAAATGAGTGCACCTTGCTTACCTAGTTACATCAGAGATTTAAAAATCAAGACAAATAGTGTTTCTAACCATTTAGTATCTGTATTACTGTAAATTGAAGATTTAGAAGAAATTTTGCCTGTATGCTCACCTATGTTTTCTAAATGTCAGTAATATTAAGAGTTAAAAGTAATTATTACCCAGCTGATGCCGAGGCCTCCACTGAGTATCTTATGAACATGATTTAATCAATCCTCAACAGCAACCTTACAAGAACTCTGATTGTTCCTTGTTTTAAAGGCAAGGGAAATTGAGGCTCAGAGTAAAGTAATTTGCTGCAATCTGTGCAGGCCAGAAGAAACTCAAGACAGAATCGGGGCCTACAACAATGACGTACCTTCCCTTTTTTGCCCTACTCTGTGAGATTTTCAGTCTATCTCCTAAATGGATTAGACTGATACCACAGGGCAGAATGAAGTGGTGGAAAAGTACATACTCACATAGATAGACAGACAGACTGACAGAACTGCTGCTCACCTCTGGATTTTCTTCTTTTACTCTTCGTGACTGTAAAACAAATATGTACTCATTAATATGTGCATACACACACACACACACACACACACACACATTCTTCAGAAATATAATGCATGCAGATTTGCTGCTGGTCACCGGTGTCATTTACCTTTTCCTGAGAAGCTGCTGCTTTCCCCTCTTCACTTTTCTCATCCATCTCGTCGTCACTCCACTCCCAGTCCCCGTCTTCGGTTTTGTGGAGGTGACCGCTTGACCCTGGAACTCGTCTTACCTGAATCAAAACAAGCCCACACCACACTTCACTAGTTGAATCTGCAGGGCTCGCTGGTACTGCTGTATGAGCTACATGGCACACACACACTACCTTGAAGATGACCCCCATGGCTATCAGTCCAGCGATAGCTAGAAATCAACACCCAAAGAGACCACACAGCCTCCAGACTCCCACACTCATTCTCCTTCCAAAAATATTGTGTTCTTGAAATGCAACTATTTTGGAAGAACACCACACACATAAGCCATTATACACTGAGATCATTGTTCACTTTTACTCAGTTAACCATTTTATCAGTTACTACATATACAAGGCCATGTGATAGGCTTCAGAATTGCCTAAGGAAACACACACAAGCAATGGACCACTGACGGAGCGAAGGCAGGGAAACCCAGAAGCCCAATGAAGCACACCAGACTAGAGGTCCCAGCTAGCTAAAACCTAGACCACAGAACAAATACCCTTCTGTGGCTGCCTGGCTCTTTCTAGAACCTGACATCATGCCCATGTTTCCAGGATTCTGCTCAACCTATTTAAGCAAACAAACAGTAACAGGCTAATCCTAACAGACTTTGTGTAGTACACTAGAGACTTGTGAGATTGTACCCATGCAGCATGATCATCCACAGCCTTGCTAGTATTTAGGTTATAATCAGGCTGGCTTCCTCAACTATTTCAACTAACTAACTTCCTTCCTTCCTTCCTTCCTTCCTTCCCTCCTTCCTTCCTCCCTCCCTCCCTCCCTCCCTCCCTCCCTCCTTCCTTCCTTCCTAACTAGGATAGAAATGTAATCCATGGGGCATGCCTTCCAGATGTCTGTGGTAAAGTAACATTTTTAAAAGGACAGGATGACTGAGAATGAGCCTCTAACCAAAGTAATTTGTCTTAAAAAGTATAGTGAAACAAACAAAAAAAAAACCCCTAAATCTTAAGGTTCATGAGTCTACTTCTATTCTAGAACTAAAATAAAGAATAAGAATTGAAAGTGGGGAAAAAATGTACTGAGTCGTAATTAAACAAAACACTGTAGCAGATGAAGATGATGTGATGTAACAACAGCTCATGACCCAGTGAATCAGAGGATCTTGGAGTACAAATGACCTTTCTGACTTCCAATTCAACCCCTTCATTTTACAGACAAGGAGATGAAGGCCCAGAAAGTGCCCTGAGATGACAATGCTATGAAGACAAAATCTAGGGAGAAACGAAGCTTCAGACTACCAATCTCTTTATGCCATTGAATGACTATCAGAAAGAAGTGATTAAAAAATGTCTTGTGAAGACTCTGAAAGAGTATGATATGAAGAAAGGCCATTTCCCATAATAGAAATGATTTAATTATATCACAGGCACACCATTAAACACAAAGGAAGCATCAAAGAACTTAAATCTAAAGCAACTATTTATACAACTCAGGTCAATGTGAAGCCACAAGCAGCACATGCTCACAGTTAAGTTAAATTGGAGGGCATTGCCATATAATCTGCAAAAGTAATCCTGATCACTTGGTCTAGAAGATCTGAGCTCCAATACAGAAAGTTAAAAGGCAAGTAAAAAGTTATTAGTAATTGCATATAGTTATGATTATTTTAAAAGTTTTTTTTTCCCCAATCCAAAAAAATATATATATTTCTTAATGAATTCACCTTTGAAACACTTAGGACTTAGTTAAAACCCCTTGAGTGCTTGATGTAAGATATTTATTCCACTTAGATTTTGAGTTCCTATAAAATCCTGTTCTAATGATACTGATTTTAATGATGCTTATGGATGATGGCAAAGTACTATAGAAAAAAAATGCTGAAATACACTTCAGGATTTTCAGAAGAGATTGCTCATTTTAAAGCTACAAAGAAATTACTAAGGGAAAAGAAAATAATTTTCTGTTGACATATACAATAAAATGAATTATTTTCTTGGCAACACTGATCATGGCAAGGGCCATGTGTCAAAGACTGCACTGAAAAGAAAAAAAATTAAAGCTTTATCTGTTATAAAACAAACTATTATCCAATAAGTGAGAAAACTATGTGTCAGGAACAGAATAAAACTCTACCTTACTAAAATTATGAGAATTAGTATTCTTCAAGAGATCACACCAAGGAAAGTTCTTCCTGGAAACAGCCCAGCTATGCACCCTAGCTCACGCCCTCCCCTCTCTGGGTCTGTGTTTACAAGATCAGTTCCATTTCCACAAGCAGATCAAACTACAAACAATAAAATGGCCTCTTCCATTTCTATTTTATCTCAGAACCCTGGTTGTCTCTTTCAGTTTTATTTGCTAGAAAAGAGAAAGATAAAAAAAAAAAAAAAAGTCTAGGATTACAGTCCTACACACTAAAAAAAAATGATGGGACCAAGCCTTTACGTGACAAATATTAGTTAAACAAGTTAAGTATAAATATTGACTAAATTAAGACAAAGAACATTCAAAAATCTAGGTAGGGAAACATATAGATATAACAGTGGAGAGAACAAGAGGCCAAGTTTGTCTTTGAGAATGTCCCCCTGGCCTACTCCTAGGAATAAACTTGCAGCAAAATTTGAAACCCAGGTTTCACGGTGTATTTATATGACAGTGACTTCTAGTGAAAGAACAGAAATCAATTTTACAAAGTTACATCCTTGTAGGGAGTTTGTAGAGATGAAGAACAACTTTTACCTTTTAGAAGCAAGGCAGCTAAGCCTCATTTAGTTTAGCAAATGATCTTCTTATTTAGGAACTGGAGAAGAGTTTAAAAAATTAAAAACTCCAAAAAAAGGTGTGTGATACTTTTTATTCTCACCCTATCTCCTCGATGACGACAAGGGAGATTATTTACCTCAGAATTCTATTTGTATCATTCCTATTCAATTAAATGATTTGCTCATTTAGTAAAACCAAGAGGTAGTAGAATGATTTGTTCTCTATTTTTGGTCAATAGTTTTAAAAAAACAAACTTCAGTGCTTCTATGAGAAACAAGCTCAAATTAAGTAGCACCTAGAGGAATTCATAATTCCACAAATTCCTCAAGTCAGAGTCAACAATAATGAGGTTAGAAAATGTTTTGCATGCAACACTATTTATTCCCATACTGGAAATAAAATACAATTAAACAGTTATATTTATACAAACCTGAAAAGGAGAGCAATATTCACATTCTCTATACAACATTTTTATGAAAATTCATTAAATAAAAGAACCAAAGTTATGATTCTGACAAAGGGAGAAGATGGGCTCAGCTGGACAGACAGAGGAGCTGTGTGGCTCACTGGTCAGTTCTGGTGGCCACCAGGCCAGATGTCCAAGGCAGGGCTGGGAGACAGCAGCCAGGGGAAGAACAGGGCAGCAAGGTAGAAAGAAAAGTCGCCAGAGTGCTCTGCCTAATCATTCTAGTGTCCCTCTGAGCAGGAGCTTTCTATAAGTAAGAGGTGGTACAGGATCTCAGGGGGGCTGCTTGGCCTCTGACACCAGAACAGGGAGGAAGAATATGGGGGAAAATATAAGGGAGCCAAAAGATGAACTTTCTAGGCAGGGCATTCGATGTGAGAAAAGGAAGTGTGTGACTCCAACATACTATGATAAATGTGACCCAAAGAAATACTGACCACAGTTTAGTAGAATGGTTCTCAATCTGGCATGCCCATCTGAACCACCTGCCAGCTTCTTCCACTGCCACATTAACTTCATCCTGGACATGGGACTTCATATGAATGATTTCCTCCTTACTGGAAACCCTATGGTTGGGCTGACCTCTCCTCTACCTGATGAAGCTACAGTGTGCCCAACCACCGACTAAACCTGGGTCATCCAGGGAGCTCACCCTCTGTCTGCCCATCGAGGACACATAGGACAGAACAGAAAGCAGCAGTCAGTGACATTTCTGGTCTCAGGCATCCCATTAACTTGAAGTATATAAAATGTTTCTAATTAATTTCTGTTTATAATGTACTTGAGGCACTGTCAAGCAAACAAAAAGCCTTCTATGTGATCGAATATTAACAAACATAATGAGACTTCGATAAGGTTTCAGCAGTAAATATTTTACTGTCTCTGCAGCTCACAGTCTGGCATCGCCCCCTCTGAGCACCACCTCTCTCAGCAGTACCTCCATTCTGCGCCTGATGCCTGGCCTCACTGTCCCCTCCAGCCTAGGTCCTCTCCTGCCTGCCCACTTTACTCCCCATCATGCAAGACTTGAAGCCCACAGCTGACGCTCCATGCTGTACTTCCTGGTACCCCAGCACTGGCCCCTGGCCATATGGTCCCTCAATTCAACCCATTACTGAGAAGCCAGCCATGGGATTATCCTGGACATGCATTCACCATCTCTTGCAAACACAGCTGACCCTATTCTTTGACCTTAAGCTCTCTCAATCCTGTGTTCATGACATTGTTCCTTCTACCTCTCTTATCCTTCTCTGCCTCCTGCTATTCTTTGTACTCTGTCTTTACCAGAAACATGGCTGTTCCTCCCCTGCATACAACTTGAGATGTCCTTGGAAACTTCATCTCCTCATCTTGTTTTTCATGTGCTTGGCTAGATATGAACATCTCAGCCATTTCTCAAGACTGAATTTGTTACCTCCAACCCATTTGTTAATCCTCCACCCCCTGCTTCCTTCAGACTCTCTCCAGTGTTGTCTGAGTCAACAGCTCCCCATGCCCCCCAGACTGCCACCCACATCCCCACCATGGTGGCAAAAAGCACAGTCATATAAAGATCCTACCATCAGGCTTAAACATAATAAACACTCAAGACATCACGGGTGATATTGTTATTAATACATGTTGATCTTTCCTCACACTCAGATCTATCCGACATTACATTTTGCAAATTGACCTCCTCAACTGCTACTGTACATCAGGTCCCTTCAACAGTGATCTCTGGCCTCTCCTAATAAAACAAACTACTGACCAGTCTCTGAGCATCAAATCGCTTCCCTCTTTTATCCTTTGTTTTGCCACAAGGAGCACACGAGCACTTTCTTAGTGTTCATTATCATAGACAGGCTG